GGCGCCCACACCTGGGGGTTGTATTGAGCAGAGACTCGATGTTGGGAGGGTCTGTGTGAAGCTGTGGGGAAGCACCTCTGGACTAGGAGTCCCTGCCGGCTTCTATACTGGCGACAGGAGCGTCTCCGCTGTCACTGGCCGGTGCTTGGGACAGTGCTGCGTAAAGATACTAACTAGGGTGCACAGTGGCTAACTGCCTAAAAGCACCTGGGCATCTGTAACACTGGTAATCCCCGAGTGCCCCACGCACTCTGTATGCGTTACAGAGTAAAGTAATTTGATGGAAGTTTACGCAATTCGGAGTTGGCAAAGTCAGGTAGGTAGTTCTTGATTGTATGCAGTGTTGTTCTAGCCATGCTGGTCCCAGATAGAAGGTAGAAAGATAATATCTTTTACTCAACCAATTTCTGTTGGGGTGAGAGAGGAAAAACTTTGGAGCTCACTCAGAGGTCGTCTTCAGGTCACAGAGCTCTGTAAGTTTGAAAGCTTGTCTCTCTCTTTTACCGGCTGAAGTTGGCCCAATAAAAGACAGTGAGAGGAGAGGAGGGATAGCTCAGTGGTTTGAGCATGGGCTTGCTGAACCCAGGGTTGTGAGTTTAATCCTGGAGGGAGCCATTTAGTGATCTGGGGCAAATCAGTCAGAGATGGTCCTGCTGTGAAGGCAGGGGACTGGACTTGATGATCTTTCAAGGCCCTTCGAGCTCTATGAGATAGGTATATCACCATATATTATTATTAATCAATTAATTCTAAGGCATGGTCTACACTAGGTTAAGCTGCCTTCTACTGACCTAACTTTGTGTCTATATTAAGGATGTTAAAGACTAGTCGATTATCCAATAAGCAAATGCTTCTCTGATAGTCAGTTAACCACTCAATCCTAGTCGATTATCCAATAAGCAAATGCTTCTCTGATAGTCAGTTGACTACTCAATCCCTTCCCCCCTTGCTGCCTCTATTAGAGGTAGCAAAGCGGGGGAGAGAAAGGATACTTCAAAGGGAGGCACCACACAGCTGATCCCAGCTCAGCTGTGCAGCGCTGCCCCTTTGAAATGCCAAGGCAGTGTTTCAAAGTGGCAGCACCGCCAGGAGCCTGGGGTCAGCTGGAGACTCCCCAACTGATTCCAGGCTCCGTGCTGTGTTTCCACGGAACCCACAGTCAGCTGGGGAGTCCCCCCGCTGACTCCAGGCTCCATGAGAGTGCTTCCACTTTGAAATGCACAAGAGCCCTTCCTTAGGTAGCCCTTAGCATTTAGGTTGATATAGTTAGGGCAATGCAGTGCCTTTGGGCATGCTGCATTACATTGCCATTGGTTGTCAGTTCCCTACTCATGAGTGTCAGTACCCCACACGTTTAAGTTGGTGGAAGGATGAGGACTGGTGAGGATGTCCCCTACTAACAGAGGTGGTGTAGTGTGGACATGAACCACCACAGTAAATACTAACAACTCAAATTAATTTGGCAGTGTACACAAAGCTTCAGTTAGGTGTATAATAGCTTTAACTCAGCTAGATTACCTACCCTCTGTGTATATGTTGGTATGCTTTTAAGAACATAAAATGTAACGTGTTATAGAAAAGTGGATGGAAAATAAGGCATATATTTAATGTCACTGTAATCTGAATATTCTGATTTCTGTTAGGAAAATGATAGTGTAAACATGTTCCCTCCACCCCCACACTATTTGCGCTGTAAGAGAGGCAGCAGCAGGGTGGGGACACAGGTAGGAGCCGGTATGCACAGGGAGCCAGCTTAAAATAATTTAAGAAAATCTTGAAATGTTAATGATGTGTATCTGACAATACTGACTTTTTTTCCTTTTAAGATATTATTCTCCTCTTCAGCAAGCTCAAGCATTTTATACATTTCCATTCCATCAAATGACGACTGCCGTTCCTAACATGGAAATGATGAATGAACAACAGACTGTAGAGGGCATTCCAGATCCAAACTTTGCTCAAGAACCTGTTCAAGGTAGTGACACCAAATTAATATTCATTTTTTTATTAAAATCTTTTTTTATTAGGATGATTTGTCTTAATAATTTGCTTCTCTTGTCTGCTTGTATTTTTTCTCTTTTGCGATTTTGTAACATGTTCAGAAGCTTGGGTTTTGTAACATTTCTAAAAGAACAACAAAAATAGTGCTGCATGCATATAGGAAAATACAAAGCAAACCCTGGTTATAGTTTTGACATTGCTCAGCCTTGCCAGATGCTGAACTTCCACTATGAGTGATATTTTTCATAAGCAGGTAAACTACCATTAGTTGATTTTGTGTTGTGATTTTCAGTCATCGTGGTAAATGGCATATGGGGGAAAAAAGCTAGACTTTTTGCTTCAGCTAGTAAATGTTCATTGCAATTTTGTAAAACTAGCACAGTAGGACTTTGTTTTTCTGAAAATCTTTATTAGGGTTATATATTGAACTACACTGTTTTTGGTAAAATGTAATAATCTGAATCTTTAATTGCTACTTTAAAAGCTAACTTTAAACTACCTACAAATATGAGAGAGCTAGAAATTGCGCCTTGAGATGCATTTCTAGGTAGCCCCTATTATCTCCTTTCTTCAACCTTCTTGTATATCTTTTGCTTGTTAGTTTGGTATTAAGTATGCCAGAATGGGAGCCGGTGTAATCTTACTACTTGTCACTCAATCACTCTTTTAAAAAGGCAGTACCGTCTGCCATACTTGAAGGCTAGTTCTAAACCAATAGCTACTACACTTTTTCCCGCTATCTCAGAATTAATCCTTTATCCATATTTTGAATATAGGTATGAATCTGTCTGTACAAATAATGCAAGAATGTTAAATCTGAGATGATGGTATCTCAGTTTTTAATAGCATGCCACATTTACATATTTACTTTCACAATAGTTGCTGTAACCCTTGGCAAGTTGAAACTGTATAGAGAGCACAAGTGCTCTTGAACATTTCAAAGCTAGCACCTGCGTGGAGCCCAGGGCCAACAGGGAGTCTGTGCATTTCAAAGCAGAAGTGCCCACGTGGAGCCCGGGGTCAGCGGGATTCCCCACGAGTCCCGAGCTGTATACACCATTCCAACTTCTTGTTCTTAAATGAATGATGCTGCATTCACAGTGGCTATTCTGATTATATGTGTATGTAGTTTGTGTTCTGCGTGTATTTTTAACATGGAAGAACTTGTACAGGTTTGTGTCTGTTTTGAACAGTCAGTGCAGGGGTTGGCAACCTTTTCAAACCAGAGAGCCAAACTACATCAAAATTCAGAACAATGGTCAACAAAGAACTGCATAAGAATGCCCATTGTATGACTGAAAATATACAACCTAATATTGATACGTGACATGATTAATAATAGCATAAATGAAACGTATTCACAGACTTTATTTAATGGGACTTCTGCTGTTGCATCTTTCATACATTTCTTTGAAGTTTACATAATCAAATTCAACTTCATGCAATCAGGCTCTTTTCTGTCAATCTTATGGCAGGGGGCTGGTGATGTGGGGGAGCAGAAGACTGGGCTGCAGTGTACAAGACGCTCAAGGCAGGAGAGTGGGAGTATGATGGACTTCAGGCACAAGGTGGGGAGGTGGAGCTGCAGGAGTGTTATGACAGGAGACTGGGCATGTGGGGGTGCAGGGATGAGAGGGGCTCAGGGCAGGAGGTTCAGGTGTATGATGGGCTCAGGATTGGTGTGTGCGGGGAGTGGGGAGGGGAGCAGGAGTGTTTTGTTGCTGCGGCCAGATGGGAGCTGGGCCCCAGCCCATTTGAGGGCTTGTTGGCCAGGCTTTATTTTTAGATAAAGTAAAATATTATGTCCAACACAAGGTTTCAACATTGTCTTGATTTATGGCAGGAGTGGGGAACCTTTTTTGGGTCGGGGGCCACTGATCTATCTGTCAGGAACCACACAAGTGAGAAGTGCAAAAAAACAAAAAAACCCTCCCCAACCCTCACTGATGTGCCCCCCCCCTCCCCCACTTGAAACACCTCACTCCCCTAGTGCTCCAGCACCATAGTGAGTGGAGGGGCAGGAAGGACTTAGGTTCAAGGTATCAGGCCAGATTTACTCTTCTGGGATTCCAGGCTTAGTGGATTTTTGTGGGTCCTACTTAGGCTCTAGGGTGGGGCCAAAAATGAGTATTTAAGTATGCTGTACAGGGGTACCAGTGAATGGGATAGTGATGGGAGTGCAGGATCTGGGCAGGAAGAGGTGGTTTATAGGAGGGGGAGAGGTCTGGTAAGGGGGTAGAAAGCTGGCTGCCTGGCCGGGGGGAGAACGAGATGGGGGGCAAAGGAGGAC